TAAAATAATTTATCTAAAAGAAATAAAAATATGATGACATATTAGCCTTTCTTGCTAATTAAAAGTAATATATGAAATAATATTTAAAAAATAATGCACCTCAAAGCTTACAAATATTGTAACATTCCTTCCACTAATTCTCTACTCAAAGATGACTACAAAATAACACACAATTTTAGTGTAATTTTATAGTGTTAATGTAACCTTTCACATTAAATAATTAGAAGTTATGAATATGAAAGGTTTAAGAGGTTATGAATATGAAAGGTTTGAGGGTTATGAATATTATTAATACTAATTTAAGAATAGAATTTATATAATTAAAGAGGTATAACTTTATTAAAAAAAATAATTAAAAAAATAAAGAAAAAATATCAAGTAAAAGAAGAAAAATAAGAAAAAATGAATGGAGGTCATAGAGAGGTGCCACATCACCTCCTCTATGATCCTCATTTATATTTATATAAAGATTTTTAAATCTTTTTTTATTGAAAACTTTACAAACTACTCTATTTTCCCAACTAATTTTTATTTAATTTTTTTGGTATGCAAACAATTTTTTATTTGTTTTTATTTAAAATTAAAAAATATTTATTAATATTATGAATAGAAATATATAATTTTGATAGCGCATATGCTAATTATATATTCCCATTATATATAACTAAATATATTCACATATTTCATTATCATGTATTGATTTTTTATTTAGAATGTGAATTTATAGAATATTTATAAATTTGGTATGCTAAAATTGTACAAACAACACATGTATCATATTGATAGAAATTTACATTATACAAAATAGGATAATATAATGTATTTGAAATATAATAGTAGTATTTAATTTTTATAAGCTTTAAATATTAAAGAAAAAAACAAAGAGAAAAAAAAACGGAAAATTCTGTATAGAGAAATGTTTGTTTTTCTTTTGATTGAACCCATCGATGACCCCTTAACATTGGCATCAACTTTTACCATCGATGGCCCCTTAAAGATAGCATCAACTTTCACTAAGACACCTTAACTAAGCTTTGTTCATTTTAGACACCTCATGACATGTCCTACTGTGTCATATTGACACTTTTTATTGAATTCTGAAAGTGTGTGTTTTGTACTGATTTTAAGCGCGTGAAAAACATTTTTTAATTAAAAATATTTTTCACTTCATCCTCTTCTCTCTTTCTCCTGCATCTTTCACCACCATTATGTATTGATTTTGAGTAAAACAAAAAGAATCATATACTCAATGGAAAAGATTAAAATAGAAGCATAAACTGATTGAAATACCTTACAAAAGCTTTTTTTTTTAAAAAGTCATATCTAAAAATTAACATCCCCACCTCACCGAAAAAGATGAAGATCCACCATTTTTGTTACTGTCTTTCTCCCCTTCCACCAAAATATATTTTATTTAGAATTAGAATTACTAGTGATAAAGGAAAATATGAGACGTCATTGAACAAAAATTGAATCTAAATCTCCTCAATTTTTTTGAAGAAACTCCAATTTCGGTGAAAAAACTAGATATGAGTCATTGAAATGACTTCCTAGAAAATGAAGTCTTTTCTTATTGAAATGTTTTTAAAATATAAATTTAAATGATTTTTCTTTCTTCTTCTTATAATTATTTTTATTTTTTTAACCAAATTGACACATGTCTTCTCATAATTTGTTGTCATGTCATGTCATCTGCGAGTGGATTACACACAATTTTTAATTTTTGCTGATTGTTAGAGAAGTGTCAAAATGACACAGTGGACATATTATAAAGTGTCTAAAATGAACAAATCTCAGTTGAAGTGTTTAATTTAAAGTTGGTGTCAACTTTAGGGGGTTAGCGATGAATTCAGCCTATTTTTTTAAGGGAAAATTTATACTATTTGCT